TTTTTTTGTATGCAGCATGATTCTTTTGGATTGTTTTGCATTTATAGTATATGAATCTCTACATCTCCCTTGATTTAAATTTTTCGGTCTCAGTAAAGGGGTTTTCTACTGGTTAAATTACATCATGTTGGTTTTCATTCCAACATTTACATTTCACTTTGAACCTTGATTTCACCTATCTGTATATTAGCTATGGCTTCCAGCTCTGTGTCACCTACAAATCTGATGAGCAGTCCTTAACCTCCAGTAAAGACTTTAATAAAAACATTGAACAAGATAGGATCAAGAGCCTTATGGCATGCCACTGGAGACTTCCCTCCTGGATGGCATCCTCAAGTGCTTACCATCTAAAATAGCCAATGAACTCCATACACAAATAATAATACCAAGCTCTAGTTGACAGGTATTGAATGAGCAGTAAGAAAAACAGATGCTATACAGAGAAGAAAACAACACAGCTCAGAACCATCACACCAAGCTCTACATTTTAGTAACTAAAATTTAAAAGAATGTATCTCAGGGGCACCTGGGTGGCTCAGTGGGTTGGGCATCTGCCTTTGGCACAGGTCATGATCTCAGGGTCCTGAGGCACAGCCTCCAAGGCTCCCTGCTCATCGGGGAGTCTGCTTCTCCCTCTCCCTCTGCTCCTTCCAGCCTTGTGTGTGGGCTCATGCCTGCTCTCTCTCTCTCTCTCTCTCTTTTTTTCTCTCTAAAAAAAAAAAAATTTAAAAAAAAAAAAAAAGATGTATCTCATTCCTGAAAGTGCATATATCTGTACTAGATTTGCAACATAAAAGCCATTTCCTACTAATGATCTCACCCAGAAAGTTTACAAACCCAGCATTAAAGGATGAGTAGGATTTTGAAATGTCACAAAGAATGGGGGAATTAGCAAAGGAAACAATCTTGCCCCATTATGGATCTACAACTCCTATAGATGTAACTCTTCCTGCTGCCACCTTGACTCCACCCACCCAACCCCAACATGCAGAAATCATCTTAAGTATATATGTCTTTAAATGACTGGTTTCCCAAGGAATTACTCACTTTTAAAATCAGTCATACAGGGGAGGCCTGCCTAACTTAGTCCATGGTGCAGGCATGCAACTCTTGATCTTGGGGTTATGAGATCAAGTCCCACGTTGGGTATAGAGATTACTCTAAGAAATAAAAAAGTACAGGGGCACCTGGGTGGCTCGGTCTGCTAAACAGCTGACTCTTGATTTTGGCTCAGGTAATGATCTCAGGGTCATGAGTTTGAGCCTAGGTGGGGCTCCGTGCTCAGCGGGGAATTGTCTTGAAGATTCTCTCCCTCTGTCCCTCTTCCCACTAGTCACTTGCTCACTCTCTCTCTCTCTCTCTCTCTTTCTCTCTCTTTCTAAAATAAATAAATCTTTTAAGATTTTTTAAGTTATAAAATAAAATAAAATGGATCACAGATCACACATAAGGCTCATGTACAAGGCAAGTGACCCTGGCTTAATATGGGTTCATGTGATTGACACCCAGTTTTTTTGAGAATACCACAAACACAAAATATCCAGGGTTGCCTCTGTTTGCTTATATTGTGTAACAAACCTAATGTGAAACATGACCCTTGAAACTATTCCCACATCTTTCCAGTCAGGACATTTTGATGATATAGTAAATATCACCATCTTTTCACCTTGAAATAGGGTTTAAATAAGGATTTTGTCACATCAAGTAACTTTTTTTCACATAAAACTTAAAATTCTCTTCAAACGCAATACCTGTTCAAAAACTTTTAGTAAATATCCAAAAAATGACACAACTCTGAAGCAATTCTAGACTCCCCAATAACTTTGAGTCATGACAGTTTCTGTTCTCTCATCCTGTCTTCTATTCCTTCTGCCTTTCTTGGGCTGAAAATTCGTTAGAAATATAAACCAAAAACCCAGAATGTAATTCGAAACTGAAAGCAACAAGCCCATTCACTGAAGTAGATCACGTGGAATTAGAAATAAAAGAAAATTCAGTTTGAAAATTAAAATCTTCAAAGCTTTTTGGAATATGAAGTTAATCATTACAAATTTATCCCGACAGAAATAGCTTTTTAAGGGACACCTGGGTGGCTCAGTCAGTTAAGTGTCTACCACGCGCACGCTCTCTCTTTTCTCCCTCTCAGATAAACAAATACAATCTTCAAAAAGAAAGAAAGAAAGAAGTAGCTTTTTAAGGCTATAAGCCCCATAACTATTTGGATTCGGATTTAGAATATCTAAAAGAAAGCCCTCGGAAAATTAACCCAATCATCATAAAGACCCTATTTTGATAAAAGGGGATCCCTACCAAATCAGACTTGACGAGACCGTCTACAGAAAGGAGCTCAAAGTCACACAAGAGACAATAATCGGATTGCGACTGGAACACAGGGCTCTTCCTCCAGATCCAGAGTTTGTTTCCACCACATCCTTGACCTTGAGACTGAGGGTAGAGGACTACACACAGCACTTCCTACATCAGTATTTTCTGACTTACCCTGACCAACATCGAACCATATCCAAAAGACAACAGAAGAAAACAAATAAATAAGTAAAAATAGAAGGAAGTTGAATCTATTACTTCGAGATGAGATCTGAATAGTTGGATTTTTTTTCCTCCTTTATACAAGAAACATAAAGCTGTATGCAACTATAAGATGTTTTTAAAGTGTAAATATTTTAAATGTTTTATTATTTAATACTAAATATTATAAATATAAATATTTGAAAATATAAAATATTCCACTAAAGTAGAGGATTCATGAGAGCAGGGTCCACATCTAACTTGTTCATTACTCTATCCCCAGCATCTATGTGGTAACATATTTCTGGGTTCTTTCTGCTTGTTTTCTGATTTTTGCTGCCCATGATCCAAATACCCTTCTTATTTTAAAGTAATTCCCTACAGTAGGCAGTATAGGTAGAATGAGTGACCCTCTTCTCACCTTCTGACAGCCCCCAACTGGTTCTTGTGGAGGCAACATAAAAACACAGGGATAGCAAAGAAGTTACTCTTGACAGCAGTGACAGAGACAACAGTGTCTTCTAGTCTCCCCTGGTCACTGCTTTCCAAGCTACATTCCTACTGCTTCTGTGAGCTACCTGGTTTTTGCCATGAAAGTTCTTTTCTACTTAAATTGGTTCAAGGTGGCTTCTGCTTATAACCAAAACCTCTAATAGGCACATAGTAGGCATTCAGTAAATATTTCTAAAATGAACAAATAAATTAATAAAGCAATTAACCACCATCGTAATTTTCTGTATAACACTTACAGTTTTCAAGAACTCCCCAATATTCTGCATCTGGTTGCTACTGCATTTATGTTCCAATATTTAAGTTATGACATTTATCCAAGGCAAGTTTTTCTTAATGCAAGAATCAAATAAAAAAAATTTTTTTTAACTAAACAAGGGTTAGACTTCATTTCTCAAGGTCTGCCATAATATCTCTTGGTATCAGCTACTACTATGAGTATACCGTGTAAGTAATAAGTAATTTGATTATGTAAAACCTCTAAAACAGAAGTGTAAAATAAGAGCTAGGGAGAAGAACCAAGTATGAGTATTAAAAATGAAAAAAGTGAAATAATTTTATTCAAAAGAAATTAGATTTGGAAATAGATTCAAAAAAAGTCTTAAAAAAGGCAACTGAAACTTCAGATATGAGCTGACATTGGGCAGGGGCACTGTGGGTGGAAACGGTTCAGGGACTTGGAAGGAACAGCATCTGCAAAGGCAAAAACCGTGTCCCTTCACAACACAAAAATCTTTGCTTTAATCAGATGGCTCTATTTAACCTACTTGGTTTGTGAATTCTTAAAAATGTTTCCATTCACTCCAGCTCTACTCCACTGAAAGCTGAAATCAACCAGAACTCATCCCTTCCCCCACAAAATCCCCTGATTTCAAAGAAGGGGGAGAGGGGATTAATACAGAAAACTGCTTTCAAATTCAGTATCATAGTTTTCTAGCAGATGTATGTGATTATTCAAAGGACTTTCAGAAATCTTTCACGCCTGGAATCAACCAAATGGAAAATTCTGAAGACTTTGCACATTTATACTTAGAAGCGACGTTTGAAAAGTGGCGTATCGAAATGTGATGTTTCAGAATTGCCCTGAGAAATTCCACTCCCTTGTTACCAATTTCCGTTGATAAGGCAAAGTGCTATTAACATAGTGCATTGTATTCGGTTTATGTGAACACAAAGCCCCAAAACCAGGTCTCCCCTGGCTGATAGTTGGAAACCATTACAAAATCCATTAAACCATCTCAGTAAGCAAGAGAGGAAAGGCCATTTTGTGTTCAGTGACCTATACTCAGCCCCATGGATTATGAAGCAGGCAATGTAGTGCCTTTTTGACTCTATATCTGGTCTCCAGGGAGCCTGAGCTCAACTCTTTCCCGATAAAGTCTGAAGAACACATTTCACCAAACAAAAGTGGATAGTAAACACTTCAAAGTAGTTTTAAGAAGAGAGAAAGAGAAAAATGAAATATTGGGGATAAGGAGTGTTAAACGTTTTATTACTTTTGCTTTACGTAGCCTATAAATTTCCTGTATAATTTGTGATTCCTCTAAAATGTGGTATAAAAAGCAATTTCAAATGGTAAAGTAAACCACACGGCTTTAAGACGACCCAAGAGAACATAAACTGTATAGACCAAACTGGCTTCCAGTGCTTTTCTGATCTAGATGGAGGGGGAGGGGAGCTCTTCCTACACTATCTGAATACATCAAATCCTTCTACATTTTTGTGTCTACAGGGCCATAATGGCTTCTTCAGCATGTACTCTCCGCCCGGTTGCGTCGGCTCGCGGCTCCGAGCACACCGAGAACATTCCCGACCCAGTTCCTGAGCAAAGGAGAGGGAAGCCGCCTGCCCTGCCCTCGGGGCTCCTGGCTCCGACCTCGAGGACACCTGAGACTTGTTGCTCGGGTGGCGGGAACTCACCATTATCGACCGAACGCGGGTCGCCCTGCGCACAGGAGGACGGCATGTGCCCGCACCCGCCGTCCCAGGCCGGTCGTCCGGCGCGCAGGGGACGCCGCGGCCCTGAGAGCCTCTGCGCCTCGCGGGGCCGGGCCTGGAGCCGGCGGCGGTCATACAAAACCCGCGCCCGGAGCGCGGGGACCGGAAGCGCCCGCGGTCCGCCCTTCCGCCTCCAGAACGCGGGCGCGGGGCCGGGGAGCCGCGCCAGGCCTGGGGCGCCTGCTGGCGTGGCCCGGCAGGCCTCCGGGGGAGCCTCTTTCCACCCCCGGCCCAGTGTCTTCGCCTCCCTCGGTCTCCTCCCGAGGGGGCGAGAGCAGGCCGGAGGAGGGATCCAAGCCTGGCCCCCAGACCCCGGCCCCGCCGGGCCTAGCTCGAGGAGAGGAACCCGGGCCCAGGCGGCCCGACCCTGCCGCGTGCGCGGCCCGGGCCCGGGCCCGGGCGGGGAGCCAGGCCAGGGCGCCCGGTCGAGGGCACCCGAGGGCCCGGCCGACTCCCCTCCCGTGCGCGCACCCCGCGGTCTCCCCACCCCCACTCGCTCCGGGAATCAATAGTGACCGCTGATATTTCACGACAATTGCAGCTGTCTAATTCATCAGTGAATAATTAAATCAGAAGCAGCCAGGCCTGCCTGAGCCAGGGCCCGGCTTGGCGTCGGAGACTAGGGGTCTCCCCCAGCAGATCCCATCAAACTGGGGGCCCAGTTGGGAGCGGGGAGGGCAGCCAGGGGACAGGCCTCGCCTTGGGCCGCCGCCGGGAGAGCGGCCGCGCGTGAGCAGCAGGAGCTCGGGGCAGGGAGAAAGCGCGCGTGGCCTGGGGACAAGGAGGGCACCCCGCCGAGGAGCTCCATCTGGGGGCTTGTTCCAGATCCGCCAGCCCCGCAGTGTCTCGCGTGGGGCTGCGCTTTCCACTCCCCTCACGCCGACGTCGCGAAGGGAGAGGAAATCATCCTCAGGAGGCGATTTGCCTTTGAGGAAGATGGAGAGGCGCAGAGAGAAGCGCCTAGAAACGGCATTGATTTAGACATCAATCCTGGCCGGCTCCCTCCGCCTCCCGAGCCACGGGGCCGCGCAGCCCCCTCCCCGGGAAGAGGCTCGCCTCCGGGCCGGAGGCCGGCCGGCTCCGCCGGGCTGGCGAGGCTGGGCCGACAGCCGCACCAGGGCACGGCCGGCCGGGGGAGCCCCTCGCCGCCACCCCGCGCCCGCGGCCTCGACGCCCGCCTCTGCGCCGCGGGAGCGGCCGGCGCGAGCACCGCTCCGCCGCGGCCAACAGGTCTCCCGAGTCTCTCCCGAGTCAGGAGCGCCGCCGCATCCTCTCTCCCAGCCCCGGCGGCCCGACGCCCTCGGAGCCCGGGTTCTCCAGAAGCGGCCAAACCACCTGTGTCTGGCCGGGCCCGAACCCGGGCCCCGGCGCTATTGCGAGTGGCCCGCGGGGACCGCGTCCGGCTCCCCCAACCACCACGGCCCCCACAGCTACGAAATCGCCGCCCGTGAACCCTGTGGTCGGACAGAGTTGCTTTTTCCTACACGCTTGGAAGTGAAACAGTTCAAAATTCTAAAAGAGTGGCACCGAAGCGATTTCCCGAGATAAAATACTCCTATAATAATCTGCATATGATATATTACTTTTGATCGTGTCGTCTTCAAAGATCAGCGCAGACTCACTTAGTTATTTAATTATTTTAGGAGCTGATATACACATGGAATCTAAAAAACGTATACCATGTGATTTTTTATAAATATATCTTCTGCCTCGCATAAATATTTTAAACCCCTCGATTGCTTTTGTTAGTTTTCAAATAGAAATATTATCTTTAGAAATCGGAAATAATATTTAAGTTTAAAAGCCGGCTAACTCTTTTTCTTTTTTCGGTACTCTGTCCTCTTTTTTTAATTACATCGTAGGGAGACGATTAAAATTACAGAAAAAGATCTTTAAACTCTCCCATTTTCATAGAGGGTAAAAGTGGTGGATATTTGTATTAATACCTAAACAATATTGAATCCTCAATCAAAAGTGGTTATGTCCAGAGCAAATAAATGATCGTTTTAAGACAGTAATAAATAAAAGGCAATGCCCGTGTTTAGTGTCTCAGGGTAACTTGAAAACAGTTCTACTTTCAGAGAGTTAAATTTGTCCTTTTTACAATCAACTGCAACTTTTGCCTTCCCTTTGAAAGGACAACAAAAAAGATTTCACGCACAACTTAACCTGAACAAAAGGACCTCACGCCAGTTTTTCTTTTGTGGGGTGACAACTGGAGGAGAGGAAAACTTTATTTTAAGCATACATTAATTGTATTTTTGGAAATCCAAAATTGTACTTTTGGAAACCCATTTAAAAGAAAATGCGACTGCAGATTCACGTGGCTCAAAACCGGTGCTCCAGGGCTTTGGTGGAGAGAAATAATGGAACAGGTACTAAAGGCCGCGGCGATAAAACTCTTCTCCGTTCTCAGGCTAACAAGTTGCTTTCTCAAAGTGCAACTTTCTTTTACAGAAAAAGCTGTATTCCGTTTGAGGGTCGTCCTGCAGGCTCCCCCCACCCCAGGCTTCCCACCGTCCCCTCCCCTCAGAAAAAGAAGCCCTCTGATCGCTGCAGTTCCAAATGCTCAAATTCCCCTTCACTTTTTTGAATTACATTTTCCCCAACAGTCAAATTATTTCTGCCACGAGCTTCTACAGTGGTAGCAGCCGCGAAAACAGAACCAGAAGGGTGGCTCCAAAGAAGGTTCTGTGGTGGGCCCCGAATTCGGGAGAAGGAAAATGTCCTGGGCAAGGTCTGCAATCCCAGCACTCAACCACGGCGACAGTCGCCTCCAGTCCGGATCAGAGGCCCAGGCTCTGCTTTCCACCCAAACTCCTCCCGCGAGGGGGTCGGGGAACCAAGCCAGAACCGGAATGGAGAGGGACAGAAGTAAGTGTGTGTGTGTGTGTGTGTGTGTGTGTGTGTGTGTGTGTGTGCATCCCTGAGGGCACAGTAACTCCAACAATTTCCTATCTGTGGGCATGGAGGGGTAACGATCAAGGTTCGCCGACCTAGTCTCTGGCTTTCTTTAAAAAAACTAGGCAGGAGGACCCGCTTGCTACTTAGCTCTGCGGAGCTGAGGATTCTGCCGCTGCCTCTCCAGACTCGTTGCCCCAGGAGCAGGTGTGACGGCTCTTCTGGCTCGGGGTCTCCTCCTTCTCCCCGCCCTCAAGCCCGCCCACTGCCCGCGCCCGCACTACTGAGGCTTGGGTGGGTTTTGCTGGGTTCGCCCCGCAGCCCTACTCCCCACCTGCGAACCCAGGCGGTGCTTGGGGCTGTGAGAGAAGGCTCCCCCAGCTGACAGAGCTCTCGCAGCTTCATTTTTCTTTTCCTAAGAGACCAGCGGAAGGTGGGAAGAACACTATCACACTCCAAATGATCCTCCGTCCTGGCGCACTGTGTCACCCGAAAAGTTAAGGGCAGTCCCTGACAGCTCCTAACTAAACCGGCTTTTCGGATTTTAACCAGATTGACGCGGAGGAGAAGCGAGTTCACGAAAAAGGACCCATGGGACCTCACCACCTAAAACACTTAAACAACAACAACTTTCCTAGATTCGACTGGAATCCGCGAAGTGTCAGAGAATTTCTGAGCTGAGAAGCAGAAGAGGGTCAATGGTGCCGGGCTTCGGTTTTAGTTTTCTTCCCCTTGTGTTCAACCAGCCTGAGCTTTCAGGCAGAATAAAATTGAAGCTAATGGAGATATCAAACAGAGCCACAATTCCGAAGGCTCCCTTTCCTCCACAAGCACCCACCGTCCATCTGCAAGTGTAATCACAGAGACTTGCGGTGTCTTCATCACTAGAGGCTCCGAAAAAAAGGGGGAGAAATTTCTCCGTCGTTAAAAGGAACCCTCTATTATCACTATTATTATTTGTGTATAGCAACATGAGAATTCGCCCCCCCTTAAAATTCCCCCACAATATTGAAACAGCATTTGTTGTACGATTCATACAAACGCTTGAGGCCTTTCTGGAAAACCATTACCATTCAATGGCTAGAAAATTGCTCTCCTTCCTTAAAAAAAAAAAAAAAAGGCTCAGCAGCAGCTACAACCGACAACAAAAACTTTCTCCTGCATAATCCTCGCCCACAAAATGACAAAGAAATGATATTGACTTACCCCTGAACGGATGAAGTGTTTGATAAGGGGGGGACTTTTCTGAAGATTTCTTTTCGGGAGCCACACAGACAGCTGCAATTCATGGGCGACACTGATTGCCAGAAACGCTATGGATTGGCATGGGGTCTGCAGCTCACAGATCCTGATCAATACCCCTACACTCACGCGCCAGATGGTTTGGGGAAGGACAAAAATAAAATAGTCCAAATCAACCCACCATTATGTCTTTTTGTATTGCTTTGATAAACCTAGTTGTAGCACAAATGTGTTCTCCCAACACAAAACCTTCCTCAGGATTTTGAACATTTGGGTAGAAATAAGCAGCCCCCCTCTTCTTGGGATTTGGGCTGTGGTTACTGTTGTTTAGAAACAAAGCTGTTGGGCCCCTTATCCAGACTGGGTTTACTTGTGGTCTATGTATTTTTGTGTGTGTGTGTGAATAATTTATAGGGTCTCTGTTTTAATTGAATGCTCACCTTTCTCTCTCTCTCAGAGCCTAAAAAATTTTTTTGAATATGAAAACACATATGAAAAGCTCTGGCAGTAAAAATTTCCAGTCTATTCCTACAATTCCTAACTCAAGTGTTTTTTTTTTTCTTTTATAATGCAGTACCTTACATTTGTTGTCAAAGCTGTATTTTATTTACAGACTTCTTTTGACCATTTAAGTGTCTGATTTTGAAGAAAATCAGATCTGCGGATGTGGTATGTTAAGAAAGGGATTTCCTGATCTCAATATATTGGCTGGTGTAACAGTTTGTCCAGACTCTAACAGTTGTGAAATAGCATGCCTGCTACCATCTATTTGTGAATCAAATGCTGAGGGGAAGGGGAACAAGAGTGTAGCTGCAATTTTTTTTTTTAAATTCTGAGTTACACAACTTCTGAATGTTAGAGTACGTGTGTAAATAAGGGGCAGTTAGAAAGTACCTTTTCCTTTTATTTTCTTAGAGAAAGGAACATCAAAGACATTTTGAAACATATTTGAAAATCTTATTAATACTGATATTCTTAAAATTATCTTCAAGTAGAAAATTTTTTTTCCTTTTTAGAAAGGGAAAAGGCATGCAAGACTAATTTACTAAAAATTAGGATGCTGACTAAAAATGCACATTAATTTCCCTTTTAAATGGGTTTTAGGTTGACATACAAAACCTCAAACCATCATTAAGAAAAACAACGTGGAAAATCTGCTTTAATCTAGCCCAATGAAATTATACACAAAGAAGCCAATACGATTTCATGATTTCCCTGAGATCGCCAATATTGATCGAGGGAAGGGGGAGGGATGGTGAGAGAGAGGGAGGAGGGAGAGAGGGAGGAAGGAAGGCAGCAAGAATATGCAACTCACCTTTCAACTCTCCAGCATGTGACTGCTCCCAGGCACACCAAAATGCAATTCCCAGGAGATTTATCTTGGTAGCCTGGTAAACGAGTTTATCATTTTGAAAAATTATTTTAATGGCCATCTATATACTCAGTCTTCTGTATGAAGGCGGTGCCTACTCAATGTCCCAGCCTGGGGTCCCTGGCCACTCTTTAAGCCTGAAGCCAAGGCAGAGAAGGCTGTATTCAGCATTGGGGCATATCAGACTCATTCCCCAGACTTGCTGCTCTCTCGCCCTATTTCAGTCTCTGAGCACTCCTAGTCCAACAGGAGGTTGCGCTCTTGTGAACTTTTGTTCAACTCGGTAAGTTTTTCAAACATTAACTGTTTCAAATTATCCCAACTGTCCTGCTGCCATATATAAGGTGGGGAGTGAAAAGAGAGACAGTAAGAGAGGGTTGAGGGGGAGAGGAAAGACAGAGAAACAGAAAATTCGGTTATTTTACCTAATTTTGTGACATTAAAAAATGTTAGCAGCTAGAAAACTATGTTTAGCAAAGTAGAGGAACGTCCACTTTCTTACTCAGGCTCTGATATCACAAAGAAGCTACTTAAGTGAATAATTGGCAATGTATTGGCCAGAGCTCAATGAAGTAGATCTATCAATAACGTCACTGTACATTCGTGTGACAGAATGGTGTGGGAGTGGGTGGATTTTTTTTCTTTTTCTTTTTTCTTTTTTTGCTCTGTAGCTAGAAGGGAAAGGAGGGCAGCAGGAAAAGGTCACCAAGACTAAGAACTATTTTCCAAATGAATCAAACCTTTCTCTAGCACCAGGAAGGCAAATACAGTATTCCAGGCTGTGTGTCCTTGTTTTCTTATCAAGTTTTCTCTAACAGCTGGAAGTGGTTGGAGGGGGCTGTCTTAAGGAGACCCCCCGCTCTTCTTTTGACAGCTGATCAAAAGAAAATAGGTCACGCTTCTCAAACTTATGTCCACCCTGTCCTTAATTACTGTCTCTTTAAACAAAGGCAACATCTGCGCAACCTCAGCTAGCTTGAATCTTCGGAGGCAAACAGAACGCAACCTGCTTTGGAAGAATCTGTTACTTTTAAGGGTTTCAATGCCCGGTAGCTCCCTGTCTTCAGCCACCCCTCCACCCCAACCCAGGCCTCGGAAATCTCCACCTCCTCTCTCCGCAGCTCCACTTCCAGTCCCCGACCCAGGGTGAGCAAACAACGGAAATTCTGGGTGCACTTTTTAAAGCTGCGGCTCGAGAGCCTTCTAAAACTCGCCAGGGTTCTGGTCTTTTCAGAAACAAGTTTTTGATATACAGATGTCGACCGAGGGTCCGTGCCATCTACCCACAGCCCCAACCTGGGACTTTCCTTTCTCGGGATTCGAGTGCGTGTGTGTGTGTGTGTGTGTGTGTGTGTGTGTGTGTGTGTGCGCGCGCGCGCGCGCACACACACACACACACACACACACACACACACGATAGAAGAAAAATCCGCGGGTGTCGTCCTGGAAGGTTTACGTACTCCTTGCTCCCAGGAGAAGTTTGCTCACTACAGGCCTTAGGAACAGTCTTGCCGCCCCCCACCCACAACCACTTTACAAGACGCTAATGGGAGGAGCGTTTGGTCACCTTGAAACCGCAGCTCCTAGAGTTCTAGTTTTATTTTGCAATCTAACAGGGCCCTTCTGAAGCCTCATAACTGGGAGATTTATGGGCTCGCCGGGTAATTAAATGATGTTATTGTGTTAACTTTGCTTGGATTACGGTGGCCCGCGCCGCCTGTGGGCTCGCGTCGCGGGTCGCAGCTCCAAGGCAGCGAGGGTCCTGGGGTTCCTATCGCCCGGTAGATTATGCAAGCCTCGGTCTCGGGAATTTACCCTGCATTAGAATACCTAAGCGCCTGCATTTTAAAAGGGTAAACTACTGGCTCTCAGATAGAGACGCTTGGGAAGTGGCTCGCCAGGAGACTTGGGTTTGTATTTTCACAGACCGGCTTGGTAGCCTCCAGAAAAGCTGTGGGGTGAGGCAAAGGGAACTAAAGCAATGCTCTTTTCTACAGATCGCAGCTGCTCAAGAGGGACACAGAGCGGCATCTTTAACATAATTTCTCTCCCTCGCTCGCACTCTCGCCTCTCTCTCCCCACTGCACCCTCTTCCCCTCCCTCCCTCTCCTTGACGTTTGATTCTAGTGGCAAAGGAGGAAAAAAGGCACAGAGCCGTCAGCCAAACCTGAAACACATGGCCCCGCCCCCCCCTCAGCCATTGGCAACCTCACTCAGGAGGCCCGCCCCCCAGGGCAGTAGCGCCCTCGGAATGGCTGTTTTCAGCGCCCATCGGGCGCTGCTCCGCCCCGGGTCCGGGAGGCTAGGTTGGCTGCCCCGGCGAGCGGCAGAGCCCTTCTGGACAGCTCCCGCTCACCCAAACAGAAGACGTCGGCGCTGGAGCGGGCTCGGACATGGCGAGGCAGCGCGCCGGCCCGAGCGGTGGGGCCCGGTGATCCCTCCCTCCCTCCCCGCCCCCTCCCCTCTCCCGCTCGCACGCCCCGTCCGCCCCCACCCCACCCCCACCCCGGGCGCGCCCGCCTGCCCGCCCGCAGCCCGGGGCGCACACCCGCACGCACGCTCCCCTCCACACACTCACGCACTCCCGCGCCCTCCCCCGCTCCCGCGACCGAGCTCCGCCACGCGCGCCTTGCCAGCCCGCCGGCCGCCCCCGCCGCCCCCGCCGCCCCCGGGCCCCGATGGACTGAATGAAGGCTGCCTACACCGCCTATCGATGCCTCACCAAAGACCTAGAAGGCTGCGCCATGAACCCGGAGCTGACAATGGAAAGTCTGGGCACTTTGCACGGGCCGGCCGGCGGCGGCAGCGGCGGGGGCGGGGGCGGGGGCGGCGGGGGCGGCGGCGGGGGCCCGAGCCATGAGCAGGATTTGCTGGCTAGCCCCAGCCCCCACCACGCGGGCCGCGGCGCTGCTGGCTCGCTGCGGGGCCCGCCGCCGCCGCCAACGGCGCACCAGGAGCTGGGCACGGCGGCAGCGGCAGCGGCGGCGGCGTCGCGCTCGGCCATGGTCACTAGCATGGCCTCGATCCTGGACGGCGGCGACTACCGGCCCGAGCTCTCCATCCCGCTCCATCACGCCATGAGCATGTCTTGCGACTCGTCCCCGCCCGGCATGGGCATGAGCAACACCTACACCACGCTGACGCCGCTCCAGCCGCTGCCGCCCATCTCCACAGTGTCGGACAAGTTCCACCACCCGCACCCGCACCACCACCCGCACCACCACCACCACCACCACCACCAGCGCCTGTCGGGCAACGTCAGCGGCAGCTTCACCCTCATGCGCGACGAGCGCGGGCTCCCGGCCATGAACAACCTCTACAGCCCCTACAAGGAGATGCCCGGCATGAGCCAGAGCCTGTCCCCGCTGGCCGCCACGCCACTGGGCAACGGGCTGGGCGGCCTCCACAACGCGCAGCAGAGCCTGCCCAACTACGGGCCGCCGGGCCACGACAAAATGCTCAGCCCTAACTTCGACGCGCACCACACTGCCATGCTGACCCGCGGTGAGCAGCACCTGTCTCGCGGCCTGGGCACCCCGCCCGCGGCCATGATGTCGCACCTCAACGGCCTGCACCACCCGGGCCATGCTCAGTCCCATGGGCCGGTGCTGGCGCCCAGCCGCGAGCGGCCACCCTCGTCCTCCTCTGGCTCGCAGGTGGCTACATCGGGCCAGCTGGAGGAGATCAACACCAAAGAGGTGGCCCAGCGCATCACCGCGGAGCTGAAGCGCTACAGCATCCCCCAGGCGATCTTCGCGCAGAGGGTGCTGTGCCGGTCTCAGGGGACTCTCTCCGACCTGCTCCGGAACCCAAAACCGTGGAGTAAACTCAAATCTGGCAGGGAGACCTTTCGCAGGATGTGGAAGTGGCTGCAGGAGCCCGAGTTCCAGCGCATGTCCGCCTTGCGCCTGGCAGGTAAGCACAGAGGGTCTCCTGGACCCCGGCTGCTGGGGAGAGTTCTCCGGGTGTTTGTGGCCCCAGGTCAGCGCGCCTGGCTTCGGTTCTTCCCTCCTCTCCGCTACGCACTTCCTATTTTCTCTCCACTTTATTTCTTGTTCTGTCATTTCCTCCTTCTGCTCCCTTGTTCCTTTTCTGTCCTTTTTTCTTCGCATTTTCATACTTCTCTTCCTCCCTCCTTGACTCCAAGCTTTCATTGACCCACGGTCCACCACCACATTTCATTCACCCTCCCCTGAATGTGCCAATTTTACCCACTCTTTTTGCCTTCCCTAGTTGTGGGACAAGGGAGGGGGTGCGCTGTGTCTACTAGGAGCTTTCTCTTTACAGGACTCACAGAGACTCAGGATTGGCCCTGTGCACTTGAACTCTAGCTTAGACAATACATTTCAGTTTTCCAGGCTGCCTGGTTTCCCTGAATGGAGGCAGTTGAGGCACTTTGCTCTTCAGAAAGGAAAAAAGAAATCTCCGTTCTTCTCCTACCCACCACACCAGGCAAACTTGTTTAGTTATTACCAGGAGTCACAATCTTGACCGCGCGGGGGAACGGATGGTAGGATACAACAGCGCTTTGCAGACATCTCCGGCCTTGGCGCTGGCTCGGGGAGTTTCTGACCGAAAGAGCAGGCTCGGGCCAGTTCCCGTGTCATTGCCTACCGAGAGGGGAGGGTGCAAGGACGAAGGTTGGGACTAATACATTCACCTCTAGGAGGATGGGGGAGGAAAAACTAAGAATGGAGAGCTGCCTAACTCGCCGGCCACGCTCGCCCGGCGCCCAGCTTTTGCTGGCATTTGCCGAGGTTTGGCTGGACTCGGAGAGAGGCTGGGCGTTTGTGAGGAGAGGTGCTGAAAATTAAGATGCAGGTTAGTTAAAGCATCTTGGCCACTGGCTACAGGCTCCGCCTTTGCATTAAGCGGACGCTGATTGTGCGCGTAGCGCGGCGGCGGGGAGGGCAGGCGGCCCGCGGGAGGGGACCGGTCGACGCGTTGGTTACATTGTTCTGGAGCGGGCTTGGTTCTTTGTGCCTCCTCTAGCGGCCAAGCCGCGAGGTACAGCCCTCTATTGTTCTAGGAGCACAGATACCTCCTGTGTGGGCGGCGGGAGTGAGAGAGAAAGACGCAGCCGTGGCTGCGACTGACATACAGTTGCGCGCTTTTGTGCGCGCAGACCAAGCGCGGTGCGTGTGGCAGTTGCGCTGCCTCCAGGACTTAGCCATGGGTCCAGAGGAGCAAAGGGTCCAGGCGCCCCACTGGGGAGGATACACAGTATCCTACTGCAAATCTGTATGGGCAGTTTCTCTTGGACCGGGGCCATCTCTCCGGATCCGTGAGCCACCGAGGGGACAATTCTTAGTAGCAGTGATTTACATTGGTGCGGAAAGTGGGATGTGCGTTGTGTGCGGCCGGCATGGTCCGAGCCAGCTACACACAACGCGCTTCCGGAGCGGCGAGCTCAGGCTTCCTCTCCCGCTCCCTGGGGCTTTCCTCGCACCACCGAGCTTACGGGGTACACTCTACCGACGCGGGACGGGGCTGGGGGCGTGTTCACCCAGGCTTGGGGAGGGGGCGTTTCCACTCTGACAGCCTCCGCCTTTCCCCGCTGTTGGAGGATTCCGATCTCCAAGCAGTAATCGCCCCCTCGGTATTGATCTGAAAAGGTAAAGAAAACTATCCCCCCAAAAGCTTCCCCAAATCTATGGACTCCTAATACTTTTGTGTGCTTTTAGTAATCTTTCTCCTTTAGCTTACTCTTCGTTCTCTACCACAATTCTCTCTTATTTGCCCCTGGTTCCTAGAAAAGATTAAGCAGTGAATAGAGGGCAGCGGTGTTGCCAGAAATAAACTAGAGGCTTGCTAACACTTCTGAACAGTGCAGTACTCCTTTGTCTTGGCCCCCAAAAACTCCACGAGTGCCTCTCAGGTGAGCTGCAGCAGCGGCTGGCTTCCCTGGCACAGGCAGCCAGAAGAAACTTGGCAGCTGGAGTGGAGGGTACAGTTAAAGGCAGGATGACAGCTTTTCCATTCCAGACCATCTCAGAACGCTGCCGCCCCCTCACGCCTGTCCTGCAAAGGACAGAGCTAGAAAGAAAGAAAGAGAAATAGATTGTGTGCTTTGTGCCTATGTGTGTCTGAAAGTGACATGGCGAGTAATGCTTGACCTGTTAGCCCACCTTAGCCCCAAGCATTGCTGGGATAAGAGAAAGTGTGGCATATGTGGGATTCCCCGGTCCCACCACCCACCCCAGGAAAGTCGGGGTGGGGGACACTCCTCAGAGGCTGGCCCCGGGAAGCACAGAGGCTCTTCCAAGGAGAAGTGCTGAAGCCACCTCCACAGGAAATTGAAAGCCTCCTTCAGCGAGCGGGAAATTCCTGCTGAGGACCCCCGCTTTGCTCAAGCATTCAAATGTGTGTCTGTTTTATTACCCCGAGTTGAAAAGGGACAAGGGCTTTAGCCTTTTTATCTGGCCATTTTATCAGCAACTACAAGTGTGTTGAGTGGTTATTATTACATAGGAGGCTTTTCAGTATGGGGTCAGTAGATCAGTCTCTTCAGACGCTGACACAGAAGCTAGGACTGGTAAGTAGGTATTATGTGCTCAGGAGCGCTAGGGGACAGGAGCAAATGGAGAAGAAAAGCAGAGGTCTTCCCCCGCCAGGAGTATCGATCGGAATCCCTGCAGGGACGCCACTGAGGGCCCACGCGGCAAGGCTCTGGGGCTTAAACAAGCCCAGGGCTCCACCGGGCAGCTGGTCCTGCCTGCCAGGCTCCAGCCTCCAAGAGCAGCCTGGGCACCTCCAGCTTGTCCCAACCAGGCCTCTTTTCTCTCCCTTCCTCTCCTTTTAGTTTCCCTTTCTCTTTCTCATTTTGGCCCGCTCTGGGTCTTGCCAGAGACTCAAGCAGGCAGGGGTTTGAGGGACCTCAGAATCAGGATGTCTGATTTGGACCAGATGTTGCAGACCTCACCCTTAGGCGAAGCAAACTCCGGATCCACAGAAGCAGGTCCTTCCTCTCCTCTCCCACCTGCCTCCCCCACGTCTCCTTTGGGCCCATTGGTGGGTCCCCAGCTCAGGGTGGCATTTCAAAGGGATAAGACCCTGTGGAAACTCAGATCGCGCCAGCACTAGATTTCAGAGAAACGGACTCCAAGAGCACGATTTCGTTGGGAAAGGGTGGCCAAGGCCGCCAGGGGTTGCCGCCGTGCCCTCGGCGGTTCTCAGGGCACGCTCCGCGCGCAGTTTGTATTCCGCCCCGCACGCAGCGGCTCGGACAAACTCCCGCGGGTTTGAACGCTAACACTCCTGACTTAGAGCCCAAGAAGCCTCTGAACGAAGCACAGACACGAAGAAGGAGGGACTGAAAAACCCAGGCAAAACCTGGGACTGGCGGCTCACGGAGGAAGATCAGGGCCTCCGTGGCGGGAGTGGTTACCTCCAAAGCCCCGCAGCTAGAGCGAAGCCTCTGACGGTACCACCTGCCAAGGTTTGCGCCTCCCGAGACCCGGGCTCCGGGGAGGGTGGGGGAGGCCTGCTCGGAACCTGCCACATGTCCCGGCGGTGGACAGACACACGGTCCTCTTCAGACAGCAACTCCCAGAGGCCAGTCTGGAGGCAACTCTGTTCAGACAGCTGATGGCCTTTCACCAACCTGCCAAGATGTTGCCTGGGCCAGCTGACGCTTGCGGCGGCAGAGCCTGCCGGGGACAGTACGCAGCGGCTCCTGCCAGGGGCACCACGGGCCGGCGTTTCTCCTTCAGCGCCAGGATAGTCGTGGGCTATGCCGGCGGCCGACTGGCCTCTTCTAAGTGGAGAGGCAGGGACCTCATTGTCGGAACCCCACCGTCCCTCCTGCTGCTCCGGCTCCCGGCCCAGCTCAGGCCCTCTCTCCCCGCAGTTTAGTGCGGGATCCGAGCCCGAGAGACCGAACACAAACCTGCGTCCGTACCGAGCGCAAGATACTTTCGCCTGCTGGCTGGTCGGATTAATAACTGAAAAGCTCAATACTGTCCTTGTTTGGTCAAGTCCCGGGTGCCTGGAGAACACCCTCCTAACACGCATCAGGGTGAGCGGGAGCGGGCGGAGAAGACAGAAGGCAAGGAAGGGTAGTGAAGTCGAGCGCGAGAAGCAGTCCAGGCCACTGGGCGCCCTCGACGCGAGCGGCTGTGCATTTTATTCCAGGCTTTCCACCGTGTGGTTATGTCACTTTTTCAAACAAATGTGTATATGGAGGGAGATCGATGCTGATAATGTTTAGAAGATTAAAAGAGCATTAATGCTGGCAACAATAACGTAAACGTGTGGACCCAGATCTCATTGATCTGGAACCTGATCCGGCGGGTTTCCAGTAAGCCCGACGGCGCGCTCTTCCCAGCAGAACGCTCGCCAGCGCCCCCGCTCCCCAGCGCCCAGTCTCCCCCGCGCTCCCGCCGCGCCGCTTTCCCTGCTCCCGGCGGGCCCATAGGTCAGGCCGCGGCTTCTCCCCGAGCGATCCCAGCCTGCCTCTTCGCGAGGCTTTCTCGGGTCGCAGAGCTCCCAGCCATCTCCGTAGTCCCCGCGCGCGCGCGCGCTCTGCGTCCTGCGCTCCCCGCAGAGGGCTCTGCGGCGGACTGAGTCCGCGAAAGGGCTGCTCCGGAGGGCGCCGGAGTTCTCCCAGCTCTCTCGTTCTCGGGGGACCGTCGCTCCCGGTCCCCATGGCCCTCGTCTGGTCAAACAGGGCCCGGAAAACGTCTTTTCTTCTTCTAAACCATCCAGGCAATTTGACCTACCTCTCGATTTGCGGGAACGACCAAACGCAACTTGGAAACGTCTCTCGAGCTGCCATGATAACCGCGCAGCTTCCGGATCCTCGGATCCCCTCGCATCTTTCCTTGTTTTCATTAAAAGGAATCACTCACACCAGAGTGTTCGCATTCACAGACTTTCTACACTATTGCATTAAGTGGGCAATTAAACACCGCCCC